ATAATAATTGTATACTATTAATATATCATTTAAAAAAGCAAAAGCAAATTCTTGAATAGACACCAATTTTATTTTATTAAATTAATATTTACTTATTTTAATTTTGATTCTTGAAGGCATATAAGGTGTTCAATAGATATGAAAGAATGTAGAAATTTCTATATATCAATATCACTTTAATAATGATAAGCATTAATAGAAATCTATTTATTAATTAGACTATTGAATCAGTTTAAACCGAAATCTGTTTACAAATTGACTAATAGATGGCAATCAGTGTCTCGTAAAACACATTCAATTCATGTGTTTCTAATGTTTTGAAAACAATCGACAAAAAGTGTAATTTTGACATTCATTGCAACAAATGTGTGTTCGTTGTAAGCATTTTGGATAATAACCGCAAAAGTGTTCATAAGATTCAGTCATTAATTGATATTATATTTGAGTGTTTTGTGACCAAACATATGGACTATAAGTTAGAGTCATTTGTTTGAAAGCAATCATTTGTCACTTGCGATCACCACATGTCTGACGGCGAGAGTGAACCCAAAGGGACCCATGAGGACGAATCCACGGCTCCTGAACCTCCCGGTGCCGCAGACCTGACACTCCATGAGCTGCAGTCAGAGGCCCGACATTTGGCACAACTGGCCGTCACTTTTGATACCAATAATGATTTAGAGGCCGCTGTGTATTACTATAGGGTATGTGATGCACACCAATGAGTCAATCACCTAGATCAATAATTGATACATTCTTGGTATTCACTATATCCTTGTTAAGAGTAAACATTGCGTTCACTATATGGGTGTTCATTAAGAATATAGTGTATTCATGCAGTTATATATTATATTAAGTTTTATTGTATTTTACAAATTAATTGTTTTTGAATACTATAGGAAACATGGGATGTACTGAACAAATGCCTGTCCATTACAGGCCAGTCATCTCCCACTGCACCCGACATGGAGGCCAAGCGCGTGGAGTACATGACGAGAGCTCAGACACTAATGGATAGACTCATGAGTTCGTCATCTTTTTTATGATAACAATTTTGGTGTCATTTTTTGTGTCCAATAATTGTATGTTATTTGTGGTCAGAAAATGAGTCAAATCGCGGCAATCAGTCCGTGAATAGCGGGGAGACGTCCCAACTCTTGAGGGCCGAGTGTTTACTGCGGGAGGCCTTGGATGAGGACCAGGAGGGCAACC